TACACAACCTCTCTTCTTGAAAACAGTTAAAATAGCAAAATAATAATAAATTGATGATTATTGTTGATGTAGCTTATTATTAATGTCAAATATGTTACACAAACAAACAGACGAACAGACAGACAGACAGACAGACAATGAAACCCGTAACATTTAACATATAACATTTACTTGGTAGTTCTAAGAAAGAGAAATTTTTTTATAATTGTTTGTTGCTGTGGTTATATCTGTGTATTTATCATTATCATCATCATCATTCTCACCATCATCATCACCATGACCATCATCATCACCTTCATCTTCATCATTCTCCTGCTTTTTCACACCTGTAACTTTTTAAAATAAAAATCTTAACATTTTTTAATTTAAATTTTAACCATTTAACTATTAACATATGTACGCACGTACGCACAACCACTCACACACACACACACAACACGCACACACACACGCACACACACACACACGTACACACACACACGTACACACACACACATACATACACACGTACATTGAATGAAATGTAATCTAAAATTCCTTGCGATGATTTATGATTGTTCAACTTATGATAATCAATTAAGCTGTTAATGTTGTTTATTAGTAATAATAATAATAATAATAATAATAACGGTAAAATGGTTATTATTAATACTAAACCAATTGTAATTTATAATATAAACAGACAAAACTAAACAATAAATTTATTTAATTAACTAGTCGTTACTTGTGTGGCATAATCGTGTGAAAATTTATTAATTCGTTCGTTCATTCATTCATTCATTCGTTCATTCATTCGTTTATTCATTCACTCATTCATTCACTCATTCATTCGTTTACTAACTAATTAATTCTATCATACTTGTATTAGTTTAGCGTACATACCTATTATTTTGCACGAATGTCTTTGGTTTTTTACGCCTGCCTATATCTCTATCTTGATGCCTCGAGGTGCAACAATGGTACAACGACAACAACAACAACAACAACAACAACAACAACAACAACAACAACAACAACAACGACAACAACAACGACAACAACAACAATAACAGCAACAATAACAATAATAATAATAACAATGAAGACGATGACGACGATGATGGCGATGATGATGGTACGTGCGTATATTAAAAACGTGTTTCCGGAGTCTATGAATATTATTATTATTATTATTGTTATTACTATTATTATTATTATCATTATCATTATTATTTAATTATAACTACAAAATATGATACATAATATGATACATAATAGTGATGATAATATAATCAATATTAAGGATAATACTTCAAAAGATGTACACAATAGATGCATGTACGTGCGCATGTACAAAAAATGCGAAAAAAACGCTTTCGAAAATAAGCAGACTTACATACAAACACACACACATACAAACACATACACATACAAACACACACACACATACACATACAAACACACACACATACAAACACACACACATACAACACATACATACTATTAGGCATCCAACCCAACGGTACACAGGCGTGTAGTATGACGATCAGCTTGTCGATGTGTAATTGCCGAATTCAATCGAATGTATGTGTGTTTGTTTATATGTATGTTTGTATGCGTGTGTGTGTGTATGTATGTTTGTATGCATGTTTGTGCGTTTGTATGAATGTGTGTGTATAAATTAAATTGCGTCCTTTAGTCGCACTTCAATTAGTTTTTAAAATGTAAAAAATTTTGCCTTCGTTGGAAAAAATTTATAAAAATGTATGCGTGTGTGTGTGTGTGTGTTTGTTTGTGTGTGTGTGTGTGTGTGTGTGTGTGTGTGGAGAATACATACGTACATATATACGTACATACATACTTAAATTTAAGCACGTACCCACACTCGTTGCATTAATTATTTGATGTTATCTTGAAATCTATACAATTATGTCACGTGTGTATGTGTGTTTGTACGCATGTAGGTTTGTAAGTTTGTTTGGCGTGTATGTATATGTTTGTATGTTTTATTTGGTATGTATGTATGTATGTTTGTTTGGTATGTTTGTATGTATGTTTGTATGTTCGATTCGTTTCGTATGTCAACAAAAAACCGCAAATCATATAAATGGACACACGCATTAAAAATAAATATGCAAACATGATGATGATGATGATGATGATGATGCTTTTATTATTATTATTATTATTATTGTTATTATTATTATTATTATTACCGGTCATAAATTTTCAACACTTTCAACAGCTTATTAAACAACAACATCGTCCTCTTCCCCCTCATCATCATCACCACCACACCAATCACAACCCCCCCAACCCCCACCATCATCATTACTATCGTCATCATTATCAACATCATCGTAGTCGTCATCATCGCCACTCACGTACGATATGTTTTATTGTAGGTTCTCCTCTCAAACTTGTTAAATATTGTAAAGCAAAACAAATATAAAAAAAATGCTTGGCGCTATATAATTTAATTACCTAGCGCATACACCCACCCACCCATACACACATATACACACACACAAGCACGCACAGATACATAGATTTTGGCTTACATACAAACACACATGCTTGCACAGTACAGACACTGACTTACAGACTGAAATCACACAATAAATATTTAATCACCGTCTAATAAACTCCTTTAAAAAGTCTTCACACACACACACCACACATACACACACACACTCAAATATTCACACATGCCACACACACACATACACACATTCTACTCACACACACACCACACACACACAACAACAACATAATCAGCTACACACGCAAACTTGGTAGTATTAGCATCACCCACACACAAACACACGACACACACGCACATCCACTCACAAACACACGCACGCACACGTACACACGCACGCACACACGCACACACGCACACAGACGTTGCGAGTAGCACTGGTAGGTATGAGACGACTTAGAGGCGACAGAGAGTCTTGTTTAAACAATACAACGACGCCGCTGTGTCGCGTCATTGTCAAACTAGTGACGAGTTTAGGCGGAGTTTCGCCTTTTGGCGCCTCCCACAGCCACATCTCATTCGTCGATTTGAAATTACGTTGGCCAATCGAGTGCTGGCCCTTGTTTGATTGATGGATTGCAACCAGGTGTGAAAATTTTTCAGGTGCATTCTTGTTTGCTGGCTGTGTGAGTTTGTGATCGTGCGTGCGTGTGTGCGTGCGTGTATGCGGATCGTGTTTGGTTTATTAATGATGATGCTGTTTTTTGCACTTTGTATAAATGTGTTTGTCTCTTCGTCTGTATGTGTCCGTGTGTCAGTACGTATGCAAGTATGTTTGTATGTAAATGTATACTTTTTATTTTACATCACTTGTATATTATCAGATTGAGATTAAGCTTTTTATTGATGTTGAAGGTCATATTGATGTGATAATTGTTGCTGATGTTATCTCTGGTGTGTTGTTGTTGTTGATGTTTTTGTTGTTGTCAGCGTTTTTAATTGCTGATTCTGCTGCGATTGATGTTGATGATGACAGTGCTTCTATCAATTTTGTCGTTATTATTTTTATTTATCTATCTATCTATCTTTTATTATTACTATTATTTATTAATTTTATTATTATTATTTATTTATGCTCTCGATTGGTGTTCGATTGAACCAGACACGAGTTTGATGGCTGGCTCCATCCACCCATCATCATCATCATCGTCGTCGTCATCATCGTCGTCATCTTAGTCTTCATCATCTGTTTTGGATTGGTGATGTTTTAAGTTTTATATTATAATTAATTATAATTAATTAAATAATTATAATTAATTATAAGCATCTCCATCATCGCCATTTTATCTCAACGCTCGCGTTTCTGTGTTTTTTTACTTTTCTCAAATAAATCGTCAAAAAAATTTTAACTTTCAGGGCTCCCAAAG